ATGTTCTCAGCGAATTCAAAACCCCTATGGTTGTTTGCCCCCCAGTTCCCTTACCAGGAACCAACGGGGGGCGGATACTATTAAGAACCGGCCGAATTGGCTCAGAAGCACACAGTGCATGTCAACGCCTCTGATATGGATCAGAATGGCATTTGCAAACAATGCGCACGACGGAGGATCCGAACCCCTCCGAATCCCCAAGTCACGAGCAGCTACGAAGCGCAACCACACGCTCTGAGCCATTCGACCGGTTGCTCGGGCGGACTAATTTGCGAATCTAGTGATGACGGCTGTGGCCGGCTGCCGCCATTTAGAACACGAGACCGTTTGATTGATTGACTCCCTACAAATCAATTGATTGTCTGCCACACTGTATTAACTATGCTGAACAAAACATTTTACATGGATCAGTATTTATTAAAATGGCAGTAACGAAACTGGCATGTACTGAATAAACTCCGGATAAACCAATAATTCAGGTCTACGAATTTAAATATTAAAATAAGTGCGGATAATTCAATCATATAAATCTAGACGGTGGGGCTGCTCGCTCTCTGGAGATTCCCTATTCTGCGACCTTGTTTGTGCGTCTTTCAGGGCCTTTCTGTGCCTCCTAACGCGGCTATTCAAGGCGTCCTTGGCCCTTCTCCATATATCGTCGTCGGCTACATCGTAATATTTGAAAAGGCACTGAAATTTCCACGTTATTCTGAGTCTGCTCTGATCAATAGGTAGACTTAAGCTGAAAGGCGCTTATGCAATACCTTGACAAACAGTAGCGCACTAAAAATCACCTGTTTGATAAAAATAACCCGATCTTTTGTTAGAATGCGGTCATCTACTGGGAGGTCCATCTCCGCCGGGTCGTCGCTGTAAACCAACTTCTCTAGAGCTAACACGAAGAGGTTCTTGTTTTGGCCCTTGAGCTCTCTCAACTGGGCCACAGACTTGGCGCTTGCGTACACGTATTCTAGATTATCTGAAAATTGCTATTTCGAAACGCAGTTTTTCAAGTACGAGAAGATATAGGAAGGTGTTCGTCAATGAACCTTGTGTTTGCTTCGGTGGGTTTCTCCTCAAGAGTTCCCTGCCTATCTGCTCTACCCTTTCGATTTTTGTTCCCTGAGATGACGACCCGGAATTCCTTAAAGGAAAATAGTATGCAAAGTTCGGAATCTAGCGTAAACAATAACTAATTGCTCAGCTTCACTTACATCTGAACCAGAATATTTTTAATGAGACTGATGTCTTCCTCCATTCTTATCTGCCGCGTCATGAATTCCCTTTCCCTCGGTGTAGGACCTTGTTCTACTAACGGTTCCGCTACTGTTGGTTCGAGCGAGAAGTCGAAGACATCCTCAACGAGTTCGCCGTCAGCACTAACGGAAGACATTTTCATCTCGCAAATCTCTTTCGGGCCAACAAAGAGGATCTGAACTCAGATAAACCTCACACTTTTAAGAGGAAACAAAATTGGTATAAACATACCTTGCCCTTATAATTCCTGCTTTCCCAGCGGACTCTAGTAGTTTCACCTAACTTCGCTCCATGAGGGATAGAAGAAGTTGGCACAATATCACTTGTGCGAGTGGACGGAAAGAAGACTACAGCGAATGATGTCATGTTGATGAAGCAACCTCCCCAAACCGTCAATTCCGAGTTTTTATATCAGCCTTTCAACCCTTTGTTTGGCAGAGGGTCACTGAGGGTCACATGGATATGCAACACGTTTATCCTCAAGTGTGGCCTGAAGACTCGAAGAAGGACTCCGATGGAAGTGCTAGGCCGCTAGGAGGTTCCGCCTTTCTTCTCACCTCATTAGCACAAGGCTTTCTGCCCACTGGCGGCCGCAACACTCGTTCTTTTTATTTACTATATCTCTTTAATTAGTTCACAGTTCATTAATGACTGCTCTTCTACCCTTCGGATATGAATCCTCGACTCTAGATGAGTGAGAAACTTTTCAACCATATCACCACTATCGTGGAGCTGAGACAACAGGGAAAATCAATTCGTTCAGTATTTTTGTATCTGCAGAAGGCGAGTTTTGTCTTTCTTTCATCGTGCCAAAATGCTTGAAGTTCAAACTGTGGAATGGTTTCAGATTGAACCGTCCTTAAATTATCAAGCGGTTGTTCGATTCATAAAGAGGTTCGAAGGCCTGCGTCCCCACAAAAAATCTCTAACAGCACGAGGCCTTCGCGGTTCGTGAATTGTTCCCATATCATTTATTATTCGAATAAAAACGTTTTTTTTTCAGTTCATTACGATGAAATTCTTATGGAAATCGAGAGGTGTTATAAGAACAATAGTTCTACAACAGCGATAGATGTAGTGAACCGCCTTAAAACGCGTGGAATAATGGTCAGCACCACGCATATCAAGAGACTCCGACAAAAACTGGGGTTCAAGAAAACGACAACCAAGTATTGTCATACAATAAGGGATGCTAATAAGCTGGCTCGTCTGGATTTCTGCAGAGAAATGCTCGAAGGTGGAGTAGGATTCTCCGACTGTGTTTTTACTGACGAATGCACAGTTCAAAGTGAGTGAATTTTAAATAACTGGTCTTGATTTGATGTCGAAACGACATATAAGCAATTTTAGTTGACTGCTCCACTAAGTTTTGCTACGTAAAACAAGGAGACCAATACTCAAGAATGCGCAATCGAGCCAAGCATCCGGCGAAAGTCCATATTTGGGGTGGTATCTCAGCTCGAGGAACCACGCGATTCGCTATACTACCAGGAAACTGTCGAATCGATAGCAATCTGTATTGTAGGATTTTGGAAAAGTGTTACCTTCCTTTCAAATCCAGGGTCTATAACGGTTTGTTTATTCGGGCATGTTTTAACAAATCTTTCTCCGCAGTTCCGCAACAGTGCACTTCAGGCTATTGTCGTCTTGTACAAGATAATGCTCCGCCTCACAAAAGTCGTTATACGAGTGAAATGCTCAAGAACTTCGTCAAGAACTGGGGGGGTCGACACACGGGGGTCGACACACTGGCATGGCCTGCGGAGTCACCAGACCTCAATCCTATTGAACTAGTATGGGGGAACATGAAAAACAGCATAAGGTAGCCTTTAGGCTGTCATGCAGTTGAAAACAGCATTCAGTAACTTGAATTCAGGAAGCAGGGGATCCGTACTTTGGATGGCCTTAAGGTGGCTATTGCGCAGTACTGGAAAACGCTGACGCCAGAAGTCTGCTCGAAATACATTGGCGGTATAAGGAAAAGGATGGAGCGTATTATAGAGCAAGGAGGACGAAACATAGTTGAAGGTAAGTGAATTGCAGCTGCGGAGTTAAAATGTAATTATTTTCAGAACTGTTGTTTGCAATGACGCCCACTCCTACATCGAACAAAGCGCAAGGCTCAAATCCTTCGAGAAAAATTGACATGCATTTCTAGTCACTTCCACTTAATCCTTTCTTGTTTGTATTTAAAACATGTCCAGTTTGCAATCAAAATACATATATGTACGTAACGTTCAGCGTCTTGTTCGGGACTTTACACTCTTGAATCTAAAATTATTGTTTGAAATCTATTCAGTACTTGATGCCATTTTAATAAATATTAATCCATGTAAAATGTTTTGTTCAGCATAGTTAATACAGTGTGGCAGACAATCAATTGATTTGTAGGGAGTCAATCAATCAAACGGTCTCGTGTTCTAAATGGCGGCAGCCGGCCACAGCCGTCATCACTAGATTCGCAAATTAGTCCGCCCGAGCAACCGGTCGAATGGCTCAGAGCGTGTGGTTGCGCTTCGTAGCTGCTCGTGACTTGGGGATTCGGAGGGGTTCGGATCCTCCGTCGTGCGCATTGTTTGCAAATGCCATTCTGATCCATATCAGAGGCGTTGACATGCACTGTGTGCTTCTGAGCCAATTCGGCCGGTTCTTAATAGTATCCGCCCCCCGTTGGTTCCTGGTAAGGGAACCGGGGGGCAAACAACCATAGGGGTTTTGAATTCGCTGAGAACATATCTGTACGTAAAAAATACAACGGGTACTTGTGTGTACAAATTGTTTCCCTTAGACTGCAAAGAGACAATAAAGTGCTGAAAAAAATTCACTGAAGCATCGATTGTAAGTCGAAATTTGCCAAGTCCCTATCAATATCAGGTTAAAAGACTAAAAGGAAAATGCAAATCAAAGCCCGTTTCACCGTGGTCGAATTACACATCAGAGGTGAATGTTTCTCAGATCTCAGAACGGACGTGGCACTGCAGAGTCGATGGTCCAAAAGAGATCGATAGCAAGGGGTCAATGCATCGGCTCCACGTTGGAGAAAAAAGTTTGAATATTAGAACAAAGTGTTACATTTCTCGATAGCAGCTATTACATCCGTTATGGCGATGTGTAGCTTTCAATTTGTCCCATTAAATTCCGATCTCACAAGGTTCAACTGAAGATAAACATGCACGAATAATTCTGAAATGTTAGTGATAACCATATCATGACAAACTAATGAGCGTTTGTGAGAACCAGTGAGCTGCTCGGTTGTTACATCGCTTATGTCTTCCATATACACCCGTAGACAATAAAAATGAGAAAGTAATTGAAAAAATTACTGAAACTTCGATTTCAATTCGGATATGCACATCCTTATGAAAATGGATATTGAAATGATCACGGATTCGAGATCTATCCAAATATGCTGATATTTTTGATTTTCCAACCCTACGATCGAGAATCCTAGTCGCACTGGAGGGTTGATGACGGTGTTATGTCCGCAGGTATTGCTATTGGCAAGCAGAGACTCAAACTCCGAATTTTGCAAAAATAAGGCTAAAAATTCGAAGGAAAGCCGAAACGAACTAGACCATTGGATTCGCCTTGGACAATTGCTATCTAATGGTTCCAAACTCAAATCATTTAAACCATTTTTACAGCAGTTATGGCGAAGCGACGGATTGCGGCGGACTA